ACCAACAAACGTCAGGTTGTAGTTAAAACGAATTGTAAATAATTTAACTAATATATTTCGCGTTTTCAACCGTTAAAAGTGTGTTATTTAAACCACGCTAATTTTATATATGGCTGTGGTATTTCACCTATCAATTAGTGAATCATGATTGTCTGTCCTTTGTAATGAAAAAAATAACTATCTTTAAATATAGCTTAGTACGAAGAGCATCGAGATAAGCTATGCACTATAAATATAAAATATGTGTCTGCAATGCCGCGGCCCCTTGATATATTTTAAAATAAATCATTCCTAATTACTTCGTACACTTTAAAAGAGGATTTATAAAAAATGCGAAGGAGCGACCTTCTAGCAACATTTTGTCAGATCTATTTTAAATGGGCGACAAAAAATACAAAAACAAATTAATCATTGGTAGTTAGTATTTAAATTTTGTGATTAGACTGAAAACTTCTTCTTCTTCTTGTAGCCAAGTTTTTTCTCCCATCTTTAAAGCAGTCTTTGTACACAATTATTAAATCTTAAAATTGTTTCTCATTAACATTAATATTTTTCACATAATGGCACATTCAAATTAAAAATTTGATTTTAAATTGTTTTTCTGGTCAGAGCAACGGCGCGCAACGCTGTGGTTACCGGTTCAAGTCGTAATTTTTTCTTTTTATAATCGATTTTTAATAACATAAGATTTTGCTAATTGACGATGACTATAGCAGGAAAGGATCCCACGACTAATTTTCTGCCTCCCTTCACATATCTGTGCTCTCCATATACGCCACTGATATATCTTATGCATATCTTATTGAATTAATCTCGAAAGTTCGCCTTTACGACTGTACTGACCTATTTTTACGTTGTAAAATATGAAAATGTGATGCATTCTGTATGAGAAGCCCTTAAGCCGTACCACTAGTATCATTACAGTTCGCCAGCGCAATTTAACTTGTAAATGAGCCTTCTTTAAGCGAAGAGTCGGCTTTAACCGGAACCGAAATCGAACTTCGGTTAATAACGAAGCAAACACAGTGAAATTAAATCTACGTCTAACTAATCTTTTAAGCTCGAATAAAATCGAATAATATAATTATTCGTTTTTTTTTAACTGCTTCATTAATCAATTTATTTTTTTTCTAAAATATGTTGGAATTTGTCTCAAAATGTCGACATTAAATGGATGATTGGAATGTTGCAACTCCATCAGGCTCATTAACCACTATATATGGAAGAAAAAGAAACGTCAAGTTTATCGCGTTTCGGTTTAAGTTTGTGAATTTCCGAATATACAAAATAAGACGACGGCGCATCCTGTTTAGATATTATATATTAGGTTATTTAGCCACTATCGAGGAAACCCAATGCGTGTATTTCCTACTCTATCATTAAAAAATATCAAAGTCAACAGATTAATGTGTACATAGAAACTTTTAAAAATGTTTGTCTGTTGGTATCAGTTACCATAATTATTTTATACTTTTAATAAAACTCAATAATAGTTCTGTGACTTTTATTTCTTAGAGGACGTCCTGAGCAAGCCCACAACACACCCTAAACTTAGTTTTATTCAAAAACCAGTCTTGTTCCAACACAATAAAGCTCAAAACAACTTGATGACATGAGGAGATACGTTGACAAGCGAATAGAAACTTAATCAGTGGGAGATAAGGTCGATTGTTGCTAAATTAAAAGAAATGATTCTCGATAATACGTCTAGGCTAAGACGTCGATGTTCAGTGTTTGATTTAGTTTTAAGATATGCGAAGAACCAAGGTCAATTGGGTTTAAGACGGCTGTTGCTATGGCAACAAGATATAATTAAACGAAACATTTTAGTGTTAAAATGCGACTATTTAAAGTAATTAAATATCTCTAATTAATAAATTTACGGCGTTACTCAGTTTTCTGTTCACAGATAAGTCAAAAAACACTCTAACCTGTTTAAAACACGAAGTATATTAGTTAACTCATTTATCATTTTAATACTTATTTTAAATACCAAACGTTTCAGATGCTTTGCAACAGTCGTGGTCAAAGGAGGCTTTGTAAAAATTGTTTATTTCATGTTTTAAACCACTAAAAGTATTTCATTTAAATGTTACTACTCGCCATACTCAGAAAGATATGATTTATTATCCATTCTTTGACTCTTTCTTTTGCACATGTCTTTTTATCATTTTATAAAATTGCCAAACAAACATTTCCTATTACTTCATTCAATGTTACTATATATATGTAAATGCAAAAGTTTGAAAACATAGGCATTACAGTAAGTGCACACAAATGTAAATCCGTGTAAAGTGTTACATTAGTAGCTATCTGCGAGTGCGACGTGTGACGGCGCTCCGGAACTAGTGTACGGTCGCGTGGAAAAGTGATAGCTTTATATACAAAAGTTATTCTAATATTGAAAGAGAACGAGCCTGTTCGTGTAATGTGTACTGTGGCTACGCCGTGGTCACGGGAAGACAGGGCTGCTGCAAAGCATCCGAAACGTCAGGCCGAAGTTAAAAATCATTTTCAAATAAGTTTAACTAATATATCGCGTTTTAAACCGTTAAAGTGTTTTATTTAAATGTGTACTACTCGCGTAAACTATAGACAGTATTTAATACTTATGTAAGTTTCAACGTATACAACAAACAAAATAATCTACGCAAATGGAAAGAAAACAATTAACGTGTAAATTTCAGAGTCTACATTTTCATATAAATAAAGCCAACAGCGAATCTTAATAAAATGTTATAGAGCACTGGCCTTTTACATTTCACAAAGTTTCATTTGCCCTAGCACATTAAATGATAAAAAATATTAATTTAACCTTTTCGCCTTGACAGTGCCTGTCGTCATCGCCCGCTGGGATGTACAAAATATAATGTTGCAAGTGTCCTTACATGTGAGTTATGTTGGGTACGGCATTCATACGCAAAAATACATATAATATCGCTATGACAATTATTATTATTTCTATTGTTTGAAAATACTTAACATTAAATGAACCACTTTAACGGTTTAAAACGCAATATATATTCGGAAACCTTATTTAAAAGCACCCCTCACTGCAACTACAGCAAAGCAGTCGAAACGTCAGGCCATAGTTTAAAAAATCCAAATAAGTTTAACAAATACTTATCGCGTTTTAAACCGTTAAAGTGTTTTATTTAAATATGTACTACTCGCGTAAACATACAGTATTAATAACTTAAAATTAGTTTAAAAGACTACCGTCAAACGTAAACGCGATTTTATTGATATGGTTTCTGCGAGATGTCCTGTGATCGAATCCCGGGAAAGAAACAAAATGTATGAAGTAATAAAGAGGCTTTTAAAGAATTAGGTATATATATGTTTTATATCACGCTACGTTTCTACAACCAAAATATTACATACCTATTTAGTAGTACCGCTACGAGCTTCGTAGCACTGTTTTCGTTCTACAACAAATGCCGTAGTACGGTTACGGATTTCGTAGCTCCAAGTATTAGCTAGTTCTGTATTTTTCATTGATTTATATATCATATTTAACTAGGCAAAAAAGGTTTAATTTGCTTACCTTGCTTTTAATTACCTTGTAACTTGCTTTTTATAATTTATAGTAAAATTAATATATTGTATTTAAAAATTATCTCTACGCGCTCTTGTCCTAAGCTTTTTATTATTTGAGTTCAAACCATTACATAGAATTAAAAATAAACAAATATACAACTTTAAACAAGATTATAAAGTGTTTACTAATACAAAATAGGTACATGTAGAGTACATTAGTATAGAAGTTATATTTTTAGGTCTTTTTTACTAAAATTTTTGATAAAAAAAAAAACATTTTAATAGAGAACTTTAATGGTTTAAAACGCGATATGTATTATTAACACTTATTTGAAAATTATTTTAACTACGATCTATACCAACTTCGACGGAACAAATGGCGCTAGCGTAGCAGCTTCTAGTTTGACGTCAGAGACTCCCTAGATCTTTAGTCTCCCCGTGACCATGGCTGCTATAAAGCATCCGAAACATCGGGCCGTAGTTACATAATTTTCAAAGAAGTTGATTAATATATATGGCGTTTTAAACCGTTAAAGTGTTTTGTTTAAATGTGTACTGCAACAGGCAGTATTTAAACAAACATGTTTGTAAGTTTAGCTTCTTAAAATTACCTCTAACTTCTTTTACTTATCCATTTAATAAATCGTTCCAAAATATCAATCACCAAACAATATTTATTCGTAACGCAATGTCACGTTCACGATAAAATGAATAATGATAAATGTAATACAAGAATGATTTGCGTCTGCAAAAAGGCTTTTAGGCGATTGACCTCGATAGTCATCGAACCCTGTTCCACGAGACACTATAACAATCGAGACTATGATTGCGTAATGATCGAATTGAATTACGACCAAAACGTATTATAAAGGAAGCCAGACGGAATTGACATGATAGGCCTGTCTAGCCGACTTATCATACTTCGTAGAAAAATATCTTGTCCTTGTCTGTATGCGAGCGCTGTAGCTCAGTAGTAGAAACGATTGTATTGAATTGAGTTCAGAAGTGTTAAGTTCGAATTTTACAAACTTATTTTATATTTATACCTATTGGATGCCCAAAATAAATATTCTTAGCGGACGAAGTCGCTCCAACAGCTAGTATGTAGTAGTAAGTATTAGTTTTATTCAAGCCTTAATTCTTAAGAGAAGAACATTTTCACAAAAACGAATTAAGCAGGCTATTTCTTAAATACTGTCTGTAGTTTACGCCATTACTACACATGTAAATAAAACACTGTAGGGTTTAAAATACGAAATATATTAGTTAAACTTATTTAAAAATGATTTTAACTACGGCCCGACATAGATAACCTTGACGCTTTGTTGCTAGTGTTACTTTTTTACATATTTTTGTTTATATATGATGAGTCAGTAGAACTTAGTTTGCATGACCAAGGCACTCGAATTTCTTGAGGACATTGCATCGCGAGGGTTCAAGGCACTGTGTGCGAACCAATGATGCAATTACCGCCTGAATCATCGCCAAAAAAGAGTACTATGCGGCGATCCAATTGCAACTGTGTGTTGTATTTTCTCCCGATTAACAGGGAGCGTTTGAAGGATGCAGCTAGCGCGGGATGGGGGGGGGAAGGCCTCGCGGCGCCTCAGTCGAGTTCTGGCCACCGCGCGGGACGCATGTGCCGTTGCCACACCAGTTAACCAAATGACTCCGCGGAACAGCAATTCGCGATCGACGTGCTATAGTTACGAGGCCACCACCCGCTGTTGATTGTGTGATCTTTTACATCATCTAGGATAAGAATAGTTTGGACTGTTCCCGTTTGTGGCCAATGTGAGTTGAGTTTTTCGTGTGTCTGCACATCACGTGCCCTACTTAGGTGTCGTCCAACGTTACATTTCCCGTTTATTTACCATCGACTTGAGTACCCTTGATGTAGTTGAAGACACCAGCGCTGGTCATCCGTCGTTCTTCTAACTAGAACATGGCGCTTCTTGCTTCTCTCAAAACAATTGCTCACACCATAGATTTATGTAACTTAGCTTGAATGTATCAATGATTTGAATAAGCCATAATACTACTACACTTACTTACCATTAAGTGATTCACTTGATACATTTCGTTAATCGTCCTAAAATCCATAGCTATTACTTGAAAACCACACAGAGTCTACTGTCGCGCCTGACGTTCATTTATTATACCGCGGTTAATCGTAACTTAGCTCTTGTGCCTCTAACTTTAAGACCCATTTTGGAAGTCCCCCGATCAGCAGAAACATTAAAGTGGAATGTCTGTAAATTCACCATCTTATTTCTTCATTTTTAGTTCTCCGCAACGCTTGTAGCTTCCACTAGATGTAGAATTGGGCTATAGTAATATTTGGTCGGTAGTATAGAAAAATACTGTATCTAGTTGTATGTGAAATGTTATGTATAATACAAAAGTGTATGATGAAAATGATTGGCACGGTGAACGCACGTGGTTCACCTAAAGGTAAATAATTGGTGGCCACGTGGGGCTGTGCTCAATTAACCTCCCCCATGGAGTTGGAGCGCGAGTTTCCGGTAATAACTAACCTGTACAGCCGTCATAAATAATAAACTTCTCGGCATAGTCCAATTTCGGAGGGCATAATTGGATTTCAGGGTTCACTTAAGTTTTTACTCCACGTGTAAATCACAGACCGTCTATATCCAGTTCAATCAGCGTAGATGACTATCAGTTTTCGACTACATAGACGTCTTAATATTCGGAACGGATCATTTGGCAGAACACATTAGATGAGTTCGTCTGTGTGTGCGTGGACGCGGGTGTGTGCCGGGGCGCGGGCTGAGGGGGGACAACTGCGGGTAGCCGGTACATGGATCGATGCGGTGCGCGTTCCTCGCGTATCATTTGCGTGCGACCCACCCCCCCACAGGATGACCCGACGGCGTATATAGGCAACTATAGTCTGATAGACTTCCAGCCGTCTCCGAATGTTGTTGGTCCTTGAGATAGTGAAGCATGCGAGTCACATGGCTCCGTTTCTTGCTAACTGCTCGATCGCTATCTCTATTCGATTGATAGTGTTAGACGGAGACCAATGATATATTTTAGATTATATATAGCAATTGGGCGCGCGTATTTTATACATTTATATTTAAGTCGTAAAATTTTATGTCAACTTTCCACATTCAATTATATTTTCCCAGTTTACGAGCATATGTTTTACGGTCGCCTGATGTGTGTGTTGCGAATTTCAAATAAAATATAGCATTAAAATGGTCGGTGCAGTCTCGGCGCTTACAAATAAAGAAGTTTTTAAGTAATGCATCGCTTCCTTTCGTTTCAGCGTTTTCTTCTTGTAATTTTAATTCTAAGTTTTACCTTCTAGTGGGGTTGTGTTTTGATGCTTAACTTGAAAATATTTTAAGGTTTTGATAGTTCTTCTTAGGTTGATAAGTAACAAAGCTAAGTTATTTTACAGTACAATTAAGCGACTGTAAGTAATCATTTAGTCATCATAATGATAATTCATCGCATAAAAATAGCAAAAGGTTCTAGGTTCGAGTTTCGGAGGAAAATAAGGTTTTCGTATCAATAACATCAATGAATAAGATATAGAAATATGCTTGCCCCATATTCTCAATAGCCACTGTATTTCCCTACTACGCAAGTAGGTGCGTTTTTACTTAGACCTCTATACCTCTATTCCGGCAGTCGGGAGTTTTATTTCTGGTCGTCCGTATTATGATTTACATATACTAGAACCATAAAAAAATGTCTGGTATTTTGTGTGCGCGAAAGTTTAAGGGCACAGTAATATTAACCGTTTCAAATTTGTTCGGATCTCAATTTGAATTAAAAATAAATAAAAACTCAAAAACAAGTTTAGAATCTGAAATTAATTTGATAGCAATTGTAGGTAAGTCATAATTAATAACTTCTTTTAATAATTTATACAAAAATCATGTTTTAATCATTCCGAAAAATACTGTACAGACGTTTTTAAAATGACGAGAGGTGCTAAATGTATTGAAAACATGCGACACTGTAGCTCATGAGTTCGAGTCCCGGAAATTTCATCGAATTTTATCTACTATTCGATTTTTGATTTGAGAAAGTATATAAAGTCATATAAAAGCTAGAGACATTTATTGCTGTATAATCTATGTATATATATAATGCAATAGCATATACATAAACAAAATCGTGTTCGTCAATCACAAACAACTCAATACTTCGTAGTTTTTTGTCTCGCAAGCGAATACGGGTAAGTGACTGTTTAGGGGTAAGCTATGACATGCTTACTCGTAATAGATCATAAATTACAGACTCGTGTAACGTTCAGACGGAGATAAGGAGGCCCACTTTGCATGTCAATGGGTCGCGCCTACTACTGTACAGTACTAAACAAATGATTTTATTATAATTCAAATAAGGAATTTCAAATACAACATTCATTATTGGGGCATACGCCATACTTCTATTTTGTTTTTCAAACGTGATTCAAAAATAGAACTGATATTTTTTTCTCGAGGAGTATCAACAAACAATACGTTTTTTAACGTTTTAAAACGCGTGAAGTAATTATTTCGTACGGTAAAAATTTCGTATGTTAGTTATTTTTTAAGGGAAGGTACCCTTGAGATAATGATCACAGGGTTACGTTCCTTATCAATGTTTTTCATAAATGTAATAAATAATCCGCATAAAAAAACCTTAAACGGTTTAAAACGCGATTTAAACCGTTAAATTGTTTTAATTAAAAGTGTACTACTCGCGTAAGCTACAGACAGTATTTAACTGAAATAAGATAAAAAAGCTGAGTTGACAATATATTCGAATCCGCACTTTCATCTGAAAATTCTAAAATAGAATTCTACACAATGTTGATCTACATTGTGTAGAATTCTATATATGTATATAGATTTTTTTATTTTCAAGAGACATATTTAATACTTTATAATCAGTATGTACTGAATACTGTCTATAGTTTACGCGAGTAGTACACATTTAAATAAAACACTTTAACGGTTTAAAACGCGATATATTAGTTAAACTTATTTGAAAATTATTTTTAACTTCGGCCCGACATTTCGGATGCTTTGCAGCAGCCGTGGTCACCGAGAGATAGTATGTACTGCGTTTATGAATTTCCCACAAACATTTCAGGGATGTTACAGGAAACGTGGTCAAAGGACCATGGCCGTTGTAAAACCATCCAAGTAATCACATTGTTTAATGTGTACTTAAAAAACGCGTGACTTGTTATTTATATACGAGTGTTACATAATAAATAAACTTTTAATGGTTTAAAGCTATATTAGATTACTTCGTTTCCAGATGCTTCACAGAAGCGTCCTACTAGAAATTACATCGAATCACATTATTTGTGTTTTTCCTCATCTTAATTTTCCTCGAATAGAGGGTTTGTGATAGCGGAAAATGTTTCACTTCAGCCGAATGTCTATTAACCTTTCTCGAGAGATCCCGAGGGACGCTGAAGATGTCAAATGTCACCTACCTTCAGCTTGGAAGCGAACTTTATATAGTGTTTATATAGTCATCGAAATGAAAAACTTTTAACGGTTTAAAACACGAAATGAACAAAATTTGCCATATAGTGTTATAACCAGCAGCCGTGGTTAAGGGTACCCCCATTATTATTATTATTATTATTTTCTTTCGGGGACACCTGTGGTAGGACGGGTGATCAGTCCACGCTATCGGCTGACCATTTCACCCATTTCCTCCTTGTAGAGGTTTTGGGTCATCCAACTCTCCCCGTGTCCCCTTCAAAGCTTCCGGTTTGCTTGCAGAATCTTATTATTTTTTCCATCTGTAGGTCTTTGATGTCATCTTCTGTAACTTCGTCCGAACCCATATGTGTTTGTCTCAGCCTCGAGTATGCAGAGCATTCAGTGAGTACATGGATGCTTGTTCCTCACTTTCTCTGCACTCCGGACATAGGGGGTCGCTGCCTATTCCTATCGATGTAAGATGTCTGTTTAGACGGCAATGTCCTGTTATGATTTCTATGAAGAGTCGGATATTCCCTCTCGTTAGTCTCATCAGGTTTTTGGTCTTCTGTTTATCTAGGCTATGTATGAACATTTTCGACTGTCTCATGCCAGTCGAAGATTTCCATCTTTGGTTTGTCTCTTCTATGATTCTGCGCTCGATTATTCCCTTGGTTACTTTATGGGCTATCGGAAGTCTCGGTTCCGGCCCTACCAGGCTTTCATCGGCTCCTTCACGGGCGAGTTCGTCCGCTCTCTCATTGCCAGTATATCCTTGGTGTCCGGCAAGCCAGGCAATTTCCACTTCTGCCTGGTCAGTTAGTTTGTCCAGTGCTTTCTTACATTCTTTGACAATAGCAGATGTTGTCTCTTCTTTGCATAGCGCTTTAAGTGCCGCCTGACTGTCACTGTAAATTGTTACACGTGATAGGGGCCTTAAGTGCCTGGCAATGTAGGGTACCCCTATAGAATTGGTTTATTTAAAAGTTAGAGATACTATTGTTTAAGATATAAATACATGCCTACATTAAACCGAATGAGTTTTAATAATATATACTTTAAAATCAATATGAGATTGAAAAATTAGATATGGACATATGAATCTTGAACCTCAGCGTTACGTGCATGCCAACATAACGAATCGATGCGGTCGTAGGTTCGAGCCCACAAAAAAAAATTGCAAACATGAAATACAT